GCAAACAGGTGTATTTATGCACACATTTCACACATATTCATAGTTATTTCGCAGTATCTCAACCACTATCTTCGGACCTTGGGAAATTGAGTTAATTGTAATCGGAGTTCTTGCACTTGGACACCGAAGCAAATGTCAAAAACAAAGGGACACCACAATTATTTGCAATAGTATAGTTAAATTAATAATTCATCATAGTATGCTCAAACTGATCAAACTAATAATTGTTTATTCGTTACAATTATTCACTGTATTGTTATATCCCCTTCTCCTTGAATCGATCCGATGATGCTCATATAAAACGGCTAGCTTTGAGACAGGGTGTCTAAGAATTCCACTGCTGGTGCGTACATAAGCTCCTTTTATAATGGCGCAAACTTCTACACGACTATGGTTCCATTTTTTCCGCGACATATTGACATCCCGTACAAACACCAAATCGCCAACCTGAAGTGGTTCTGGCCTTTCGAACAACTTAGTTCGATGAGTGAGTGTTGGCAAATATTCAAGGATCCATCGTATTCAAAATGTGTCTTTTAACTGTCGGACGATGTGTCACCGTTTAGGAAGTACGCAAGGTTTCTCGGCGGCATCATTGACGTTTGCGCGGTTTTGCAGCACTAAACAAAACTGGTTTGGAGTCAGTGGTTCATCTTGGTCTAACGACGGCAGCAGATGTGTGTTTAGACTAGAGTTGATGATGATGATCGCGTGTTCTCGCGAAGTGCAATATCATTTAAGGTTATCTTAAGTACACACTTTCACACCTTATCTTACGTTCCTCTATGCCACATTCTGCAGGGTTCTTCGGACAAGTTGTCCTGAATATGAAGACAACGAAATACTTCAGGGTATTGTTTTCTTTCATTATTGGCACCGACGATATTTTTACCGTTGTCCTCACAGGCAAACCGCGACGGTTGATAAAATTTCGAATTACAATAACGGACGCATTTGTTGAAAGATCGCAACAACTGCCAGGTGAATGTCTAGTATTGTAAGGCAGGTGAATAATGCCACCGTTTCTCATTATCGACCAACAGTTACTTTAATAGGACCAAAATAATAAATAACTTTATAAGAAAAGGGTCTCACAAATCGAGTTTGTCAATCCTTTGACAATTGATCCATCATAGGCTGCGACAGGTGAGAATTTTTCTACTCGGCGGCGAAGAACTCTAATTGATATCGGTCACTGCCAAGGATTTCAGGCCTACCAGCATCTTCTCGTTTTTATTGAAAGCGCTAGAGAGGCTTATAGACTGGAGCTTAGTATGCCTACTACAAACAGAGGTCGGCAGACACTGCTCTACACGGCGGTTTGTAATTGCTGAAGAGAGCCCTCACGCATAAGAAATACGCGGTGGCTCTCTGTCATCATATTTACATAACCTAACCCAACCTAAGCAAATACGAACTGTCTGGTTGAAGTAATAAAGTTGAAGGCATAGAGTCAGTAGTGGTCAACGTTTATAGCAATAAAACTGAGGCTAAATTTATGGCCTTCAATATAAGTCAAGAAGATACCAAATTTTATTGTAATTTAATCACGATTTCATTTAATAATGGATGTTTAATTCTTTCTCAACATTTTTTTAATATAAGGTTTTGCCACACCTGAAGGAATATTGACCCCTCCAACATACTTTATGTAAAAAACTCAAACTTCGGTTTGGCTTTATATAAACGTAAAATATTAGATATACAATCGTTTAATGCCGAAATTGTGTGAAATCAATCCACGAATTCCCCCAGCACATATCTACTACTTATGGTATAATATTTTGCGTTAATTTGATAATTTAATGAAATTAAATAGATAGTTTTTCTTAAAAATAATGTAGTTTATCGCTGCATATGAATGAAATTGGTCTGGACCTTTGTTTAAACCTTATAACCCTAATATACTGGTTTCAACCTCATATACCCCACATATTAAATCTAACCCCTTTGGTTCAGTTTATATCACATGTATCATGTTTGAGTTAAATAGCTTCATTTTATTAAAGTTAACATTTCGGAGAAAAAAAATAGTATTGGCACAAAATAAATCTATGATCAATAACATAAGATACCAAATGACAATCGAATAATGAATGTTGAATTCTTTCGCAACATTTTTATACTCTTGCAACATGACCACCAAACGGTTGCTTCCAGATACATATATTTTCTATATACACACATATATTTCTTCTAATATTTGGTGATAATCAGTGGATAGGTAGCCATTGGCAGCTTATGAAAGGTTTAGATATTAAGACAGAAAGAAGAAAATCTACATACCTGCTCTACATATGTGTGTACCATATTTAATTATATATAAGTTATTGTTAATTTAGCCTTCATGAGCAGACCTTTCAAAATAGGTACCATAGATCCCCCTGTTTTAAAAAGCGTTAGACAAAAGCAATTTACGGAGGGGTTTTCTGAGCACTTAATTTCAATACAATGAAATACACTACTAATTTCCAAAATATAAATATAACTAAATATTATGCATTATTATGTTATTCTAAGTAAATATACATAGGTATACAAAATCACGTAAGCTGTGTGTACAAAAATATACCAAAACAAAACTATTATACTCTGTAGCAACATGTTGCAAGAGCATAATAAATATCAGTACACTGTGTCTGTACTTTCAGCTACACTAGATTTCTTGACCAGCAAAGTGCTTAGTGTTTAATACTTATGTAGTGTTTATGTGTTGTACATCTAATTTAAGAGATTTTGAACATTTCCTGTCTGATAGTGGAATAAATATGTCTTTTGATGATTATTTGTTAGCCCTTAGATAAAGTTTATCAAAAACAAAATTTTTCTAAAAAGAAAATAACAGGATCGTTTTATAAACTCTTATAATCCCCTGATTTTGGAAGTCGATAGAGCAAATATGGATATCCAATATATACTGGATGCATATGCTTGCTGCAAGGAAATTTCTAGGCTCTTAAATGAAGCTATATCAGAGGTAAATGCTGGAAATTATACTGTTAAGCAAAAACTTAAACATATAGGTCACAAATTTATATCAGGCACAGATATATCTGCACAAGAAGCAGTATATTGCTGCATTGGGCTCCATCTTTCGAAAGCAAGTGATGCAGAAATATTTATAAATACCTCTTGACCTGAGGAACGTGTTCGAATGGTGAAACCTAGAGCGTTTAGCTGATTTTGGATCTATGTATAAATATTTTAAATCTAGTAAAAGAGCACAAGACAGTGATCATGAAGAAGAAGAGAGGGAAGACGTTTTACCAGAAAGCGGTGTTGTCATGCTTATTAAAGACGGTAGCGTAACAAACCTTGTATAAATCGGTACAGAAGGTTTAACCAAGATTTCGCCAGAGTTGAGAATTTCCGCGAAATGGTAATGCTTTACTATCCATGGCGAAATGAACAGCAAGATCTTATTGAAAACGATAATGAGCAGACTTACATAACACATCGTATTCTATTGTAATTGAGGAAAATCAAAGAAAATATAATGTTTTTGAGCAAAGAGATTTTGAAAATGTTCTAGAAAGTTATTATAATGAAGTAAACATAGAGGAAAGTTCTCAAAATGAACTACCTATCATGGAAAATGAGTTCAGAGTGTTGATATTTTCAGAAATAAACCCATATATAAATTTTTTGGACTTGCATGGTGAAGATTCAACAGATAATGGCACTGAATCTGATTGCAATATTAACCTTATTACAGTATCCCTTTGCCAGTTGTTCCGGCTGAGGGAATTACTATTCATAAAAGTCAGGGTGCCACATATAATAAAGTTGTAATTCATACTCGACCCAGAATGCCTAGAGCTTCAATAACGAGCAATAGAAATATACGAGACATTATAATTTATGCAAAGTATAGTATTGCTAGCTCTATAGAACCAAAGGCTGTAAAGAAAATTTATTCAGGCCGCATTCAGGAAGTCCTTACTTCCGAGTTATGCAATTAAAATGTGCTAATTGTTGGAGATTTTAACATTTGTTTAATGTCTAAAGGGACTACAATAGGAAATCTGCTCCAAGAAAAAACTTTAGTTCCCTGCTTGGTGTAGAATATTCAACTACCCCTGCCGGTACACAGATTGATTGGGCATTTTCAAACATGGATCCTTCCCATGTTAATGCAATTACTTTTGAGACAGTACACAGCTATCATGACAGTATATGTGTCTCTATTTCCAACTAAAGTTGTCAGACTTAGTGCAATAGTTCTTAATTTTTTTTTATATATACTCAAACTAAAATGGTATAGGAATTTTGACAGTAGTTTTTAAGACAGTTTTAAGAAAAATATGTAAATAATCTAATTAAGAAAATTAATATTATATCTATAATTTGTAATTATAAGACATTATTGCATAAATGTATGATAGAAATTAAATAGTATAAGGAGAAAAGAAATATAATTTGGATATATGTATAAGTATCTCTATAAAATTTTTTATTTAATATTGTAAATATTATATACAAATTTTTATCATAATATAATTTTTAAAGTTGTTAGTATTTATTATTTTTATGTTTAGCTTATTATAAAAATATCGATATAATAATTAAAAACTTTTATTCATTGTCAAAAAACGATTTATTTTGATACTCATCAATTGTAAACATTCTATATAGAATCAATTATACGCGTATACAACAAAACACAAGAACGATTTCTCATTATTTGAGTAAATTAGGTTTACAAATTGCTCTAATTAATTTCACTGTGAATGTAAATAACTGAGGCAACAATTCCTACTTCTAATTATAAAAATATATAAAGAAATCTCAAACGAGTATACCATTTAAGTATATGCGAAGTTAGTCCTTCCCTCCATTTTTTTTTAATTTTAGAACACATTCAATAAAACAAACATAATCTGAATTAATTATGTCTTTTTGTTCTTCTCTTACTCTTGTGACCAAAAATATCAAACATACTTTCCATATGTACTTGTATATGTATATTATTTTTATTGTGCAACATTTTTGAATTTTACCTGTAAATAGGAGTTCCCTTATCCTCACGATACCAAAGAACTAGAACGGCTTCATCACCAGATTTAGCAGTCATATTACATGGTAAATGTATTGTTTCACCAATAAGGGCTTCTATTTGATAAAACGGTACTGAAATAGTAAAGGGTTATGTAAAAGACATTAATAAAGTCGCTAATTTAATTGTGTTAAAATATTTAGAATAAAATATAGAAATTTTCATATATTAGAGCTAGGTGAGGTGTAACCGATGTTTCCTTAATACATGTGGTTTTGAATAAGTCAATACTTTTTCGGAGCTGGCCTTTTTCTGTTTGGTTTTCCATTTCATAGTGAACAGTGAATATAGTGTAAATCGTGCTAATTTATTACTAAATTAATGACTCGGTTCACGCGACGCATCGCACACTGCGGCCAATATTCGTTCGACATAATTGTCCATCATAGTCGATAATTAGAGGAACAATGGATCGTTTTCGCATCACTTTGTCGAAGGATGGGTATGTTAATAAAAAAAATTGTCACATCCCCAAAAAGTCACGTATGATTAAAGGGACGTATTTATCCATATTTCTTCTTATATAATGTTACAGTCAATGGAGAACGCTATCGAGCCATCATTAATGCCTTTTTGTGCATGAATTGGATGATATTGATGAGGACGACTTCTTGTTCCAACGAAATAGTCAATTTATTAAAGGAAACTTTTCGACTTTACACCGATCATGAGCTCGTAACGATAATGGCAAATAAAAAAGCTTAATTCTTGTCAATTAAATAATTATATGCGTTTTATTTTTTGTAAAAAACCTCATGTCTAAAACAAACACCCTTTATAAATAAACCCATCTTGTTAAAGAGTTGTCCATTTCCTGAGAAGTATAAGTATTATTGTAAATTTTTTCCTTTGTTCAGTTCCATTATGGAACAAGTAAGGAAGAGATATTTTTGGACTCGAGATGGCACAATTTAAAGGCACTATTTTTTCGAAGTTCTATCCTGATATATTCATTGATGCTTGGTTTGTATGCCTAAAAGTAAAAGAATCCGATGGAACTTAAAATTGTGTTATATGTGAAGTAGGCGTGGTTGTAGTCCGGTTTCGCCCATTTTTGCACCGTAACATGTGATTGTTAGAGAAACATTATGTACTGAATTTGGTTAAGATGTGTTTTTCCTGGGATATGTGATTTCATCTAAATGAAATTCGACACCGAAAAAATAAATGCCAATAAATGTTCTTTCGAATGATAATAAACATTCCCATGTTTTTTCTTTAAAACAGTAGAGAACCTCGAAATGGATCACCCCATATAATAGTTTTGTTCATCTAACGGTTGTTGTATTACCTAACTATAACTTATGTTTCTTATTTCGGTTACCATAAACCTATAGTTTCAATGATGAAAATTCCTGAATAACCACATGTATTGTAAGATAATAAAAATATTTTGAACAATATTAACTTGTCATTTATTCAATAAAAGGAAAAAAAATTGTTTTCTTATCGATCACCACGCTCAAAAAGTGTAACATAAATTAATATAAAAAAAAGCTTGAATTAATATCAAAAAAAAAAAAAATTACATAAGTTGTAAAAAAAACACACTAATTGGAAAATTATCTACAATGATGAAAGCAAAATATCATTGTTGCCTTCAGCGACGTTCATTCGCCTCAGTCTTTGCGTCAGAAGCAATAGCCATTCTTCTTGCCAAATAGCAAAAATGAGTATAACAAAGATACTTGTATAATCCTCCATGACCCCTTATCATCGCTTAAAGCTATCTTAAAAGTAAATTTTACTGGCCAAACAATTTGCCAATTCAGAGATATCCTCACCAATGTAGGAAAAATAAAACTATCATGGATACCCAGTCACATCGGCATTCAAGGGAATACTCTAGTAGACTCCGAAGCCAAACTAGCATCATCTCCCTCAAAACTCATAAATATCATTAACTAAAATAGCATCAAAAAAGTTGAAAAAGAATGCTGGGACAGAAATTAACACTACAAAAAACTCACAAATCCCAACAACCAGGAGACAATGCGTTATACATATATACACGCTTTCGACGAGGTCACTCCAGATTAACACACAAACACATATTGGAAAAGATATATAATTTGCTTATTTCGGAAAATGAAATTTGCTATCACATATACATAATTATTATACTTTACCTTAGTAATACTACACAAGACTTCATCTTCCGATTATCTTACTAGATCATTGAGGTTTGATTATTATGATTCGTACCTTTTTTTATGTATTTAATTCCCATTTATAACGTACGTAAGGTATTCCTTACAAAACTAAAGTATGACACTACAACAAAGAACTGTGTATGTAAGTACAAATAAATTTTATAATTAATAATTAGCGAACTCTTTTCAATTTTTTGGTGCATAATTAGGTGTTAATTGTATGATGTGGTTAAAATTCCTGACTTCCTTGCTCACAAATACTTTTATAAGTAATCCTTCAAATATATAACTAACAATATATCGGTGCTATTTCAGTTATTTACTTATGTTTTGTGTTTTCGGAGAATCAGCTTTCCAGCAAACAAACAGCGCATTACTACAATTACATATGTACAAGTATATAACATACATATTTTTATATGTACATGTGTGAACAAAAGAAGCTTCATTATACACAGCTTTAGTTTTTAATATTTTTAATTCTTAACTTTGTTGGAATATACTGGAAATTTGTAATTAAATCAATTTGATATTATACCACGTACCGTCTTTATTTCCGTGCGTTGTGACCAGAAATATTAATAAATATATAAGTATTGGCAGAGAATTTTTCATTATTATATTTTATTTTAAAATTTCATTCGGCAGTAAAAACCATAAATCAATGATTTTTGCGTTTTTAAAATGCAACATAAACAAAAACAATTCTTTAGATTGGCACATGAAAATGCTGCATCGCATATGCACTAAATTTTATTTATTTATTTTCAGCATTGTGTGCTAATGTTTCTTCACTGTCTCACATTGAAATATGAGTATGTAATGAATTTAAGTAATTTCTATCATTTTAACAAAATTTTGTTCAATAATACAATACATTTCACAGAGTGAACAATACCATTTAATATTAACCTAGTTGTTGCTACTATGAGTTCGTAGTTAATGATTACAGTTCCATATAACAAACGTATTCGGTATTTTTACACACTTGCAAATTCACGAGATGAACGTATCCCTATTTAATCAGCTAGAAAATATTTGGCACAGGGGTTCAGCTAGGTTTGAAATATTGTATATGGTATGTGTTCTTAGTTTTTCTAAACTTGACAAAGCTTTCTTAAGCCACTAGAGCTATCTCAACAATTGGAAAATATGCGCTTCTCTACTTTACAAGTATGACTTCCTGCTGGTTTTATGAAAAGGGTACTACACGAATTCTCCCTTATAATAAATTTTAGACATGTGGTTTTCAATAAGAAATAAAACGTACATATATAATTTAATCTTATGGCCAAAAATTTAGCTCAGTTATAAAGACAAGGGTTTGCAATTATGTTTAAAAAATTATTTCAAGGCGTCAATTGTCTCTGGCTTATCTGAGTAGACAAGCGACTTCACATAACCCCACAAAAAATAGTCCAGCAATGTTAATTCGCACGATCTTTAAGATCGCCACATGTCCACAATGCAAGATAATGCGATCACAAATATTTTCTTTCAATAATTTGATTGCTTCGTTGGCTGTATGATATGTTCCACAGTCTTGTTGGAACCAAAGGTTGTCCCCATCAACATCCTTCAATTCAGGCAGAAAAAAGTTATTAATCATGACTCCGTAGCGTTCCGAATTGACTGTAATATTATAGCCGGCTTCATTTTAAATAAATAAAAGAATAGATTAATGATTCCTTCTGGCCATAAAGCACTTCAAGTTATGTTAAACCGATTAATGGTTGCTTTAATTACCGATTCTGCTGAGCGATTATATCGACCGAATATTGGCCACACCGCACGATGTAACGCGCGAGCCGAAATGGGAAACTGAACTGAGTAACAGCTGACAAAAAGACCAGCTCAAAAAGTATTGCCTCATTAAAAAACACACGTCTAAACCTAAACACCCGATTTGCTAAGATGTGAGAATAAAAAAATAATTATGACTTTCAAAGGTGACCCAGAAACTGATTGGGTTCTCGTCTTTTTGAATTTGCGTGTTTTATTTGACCAACACCTAAAGCTATTATTAATTTTTTTAAACGCCAAAATACAATATAAAACAGTCCAGTTACAGAAACAAAAATTTCAACAAATAAGAATAAAAATTACGTTATAATAATACAATAATTTTTTATTAAATAAAATCATATACAGTTGTTAATGTTGAAAAGTGAGTCAGATAAGTCAAATGTGCAGGAATAATAATTTAAATCATGACATACCCAGCAAGACAGGTAAAGGTTAGTTAACTGGTTACCGATAGGTTATCAGTAATTAATGTATTTGTTATCGGATAGGTTAATTTTGTTGTAACCTCTGGATAAAAGTAAAGGCCATTCACATACAACCTTTTTCTCTTTACGGGACAGTTCATATTGAAACCACGAAGCGCAAAAAACAAAGGGCATGTCACAATGAACACTTTGCCTTTAGTGTGTCTCTCTTATAAAAATGACGACGGTTGCTTGGCAAAGCGTGAAAATATGGGAGTTTCCCAACATTTTGCTTAGCTTCGCGTCAAAAACTTTTTATGTGAGCGTACATCGAACTTTTCTGTCAAAAAATTTCATTCCATTCATTTCCGTTACGGAATTTCTTGATTCAGTCTCCGAACTCAAAGCCTGCGATAGAAGCTATGCAATAGCCTAAAAATGACCGTGTCACCAAATATAGGTATAACAAAATTTATTAACGAAATTATAAACTTTAAAAAGCATTATTTCTCCTAAGCTTGTATATTTCGGAAGCCGATGCAGGTATCCTGATTGCAGGAGATCGTATGGGTTTAATCAAATATATATATCCCGCAAGATCGATGTCGAATGAATTTAGGTGATCGAATTGGTTGACGAATTAATTGTAGTAAGCTTGGTCGCTTTCGTATCGAAGTGTGTAGAGGCAGCGATGATCCAATGCCTTTAGTATTGTTGGTGATGTGGGAAGTCATCGTGTGAGCAGAGAGAGATCCAACTACGGGCAAGCTTGTGAATTGTCAAAACCTAACAAAATGCGATGAGCGTGTTTCACCACAGGTGGCTCGGAAGAATAAATTTTAGTAGTGGCGCGTAAACAGAGCTGAGCATTGAATGTAAAATATGCTCAAAAGTTTGCATTGATATTACAGCTGCATGTTAGCCTATTGGCTTATATTTTTATACTTTTAGACGTAAACAAAAATCCGGGTTTGCTCAAACGAAATGACATCGAAATTAAGGACATCCATCCATCCCAATGGAAACTGCTAGATGAGCCAAGACCGAAAAAGGGACGCCATCGTGGATTCTGCATCACGACAATGCACCAGCTCCCACATCAATTCTTGTTCGTAATTTTTTGACCAAATAATCATGCCTCAACCACCGTATTCACCATATTTGGCTCCCTGCGACCTCTTTCCCAAAACTGAAAAAAACAAATGATAGGAAAGCGTTTTGAAATAATTTATGAGATCAAGTCAAAATCGAGGAAAGATCTGATGGCCATACCGAAAAGCGCATTTCCGCAGTGCTTTGAGGATTGGAAAAAGCGAGGGGGATTACTTTAAAAGGGGCAAAATAGATATTGATGAATAAATAAGTAATTGCCAAAAAAATCAAAATTCACCTTTTCTTTAAAACAGGCATCGTATATATACATAACATACAATCACTATAAACTTAATATATTACAATAGTAATTAATGTAAATCCTACCTTTCAAATACCTACCTTATTACCTATTTCAAATCTCGATACAATCACGTATCAGTAATAATGTGCGCTCACTGCTCTATATAAATACATATGTAAGTATTAAACACTAAATACTTTGCTGGTCAAGAAATCTAGTGTAACTGAAAGTACAAACACAGTGTACTGATATTTATTATATTCTTGCAACATGTTGCTACAGAGTATAATAGTTTTGTTATGGTATATTTGTGTTCACACAACTTACGTACTTTTGTATACCTATATATTACATAGATATTGACTAACATAATAGTCCATAATATTTATTTATATTTATATTTTGGAAATTAGTAGTGTATTTCATTGTATTGAAATTAAGTGCTCAGAAAACCCCTCCAAAAATTGTTTTTGTCTAACGCTTTTTAAAACAGGGGGATCTATGGTACCAATTTTGAAGAGTCTGCTCATGAAGGCTAAATTAACAATAACTTACATATAATTAAATATGGTACACACATGTAGAGCAGGTATGTAGATTTTCTTCTTTCTGTCTTAATATCTAAACCTTTCATAAGCTTCCAATGGCTACCTATCCACTGATTATAACCAAGTATAAGAAGAAATATACATATGTACATAGGTATATAGAAAATATATCTGCAAGCAACCGTTTGGTGAACAAAACTATACTCTGTTGCAACATGTTGCGAAAGTATAAAAATGTTGCGAAAGAATTCAACATTCATTATTCGTTTATCATTTGGTATCTTATTAACTTATGTTATTGATCATAGATTTATTTTTTGTCAGTACTAATTTTTTTCTCCGAAATGTTAACTTTAATAAAATGAAGCTATTTAACTCAAATATGATATATGTGATATAAACTGAACCAAAGGAGTTAGATTTAATAGATGGGGTATATGAGGTTGAAACCAGGATATTAGGGTTATAAGGTTTAAACAAAGGTCTAGACCAATTTCATTCATATGCAGCGATAAACTACATTATTTTTAAGAAAAACTATCTATTTAATTTCATTAAATTATCAAATTAACGCCAAATAGTATACCATAAGTAGTAGATGTGTGCTGGGGGAATTCGTGGATTGATTTCACACATTTTCGGTTGAAAAAAAGGTTACAGATTACATTCACATCGAAATTGTTGGGCAACTCTTATCTTTTTACGCTCTGACAATTCGGCATATTTCTATTATTTACCAATATTTTTGAAAGTGATAAAGGGCAAAGAATAGTTCTTTTGCGTGCTGAAAGGAGTTCGTTGCAAAAGAACTATGGACACCCCGGTGTTGGACCGACCAGGGTTAATTTTTTGAAGCGCGAAGACCGCTAGTGTAAATATGAGTATGGTATGATTCGGTGGCCATGGATGATTGTTTTTTATGTTGCGCACTGTATCTGGGTCCTTCCACAACATTTGTCATTCATGTCATCAGTACTATAGCCAATAGTAGACGAATTTGAGTTCTTACATAGTTTAATGCTGCTTCAGCAACCTTACTGTCCCAATGATTGTCATCTTCTAGCAAGCCTAGGGCATGCAACTTTATACGTTGGATACTGTTCTATTATATATTAAAATGACAAGGGTCCGGTCGCAGATACAAGCACTTAATCTGCCTTGGATTGACTGTATACATGGTACACGATACAAATTTTTTTAACATCAATTGGTGTGCCTTGTTTATGGGGCATCTATTTTTATACTCTAGCATCATATTGCTACAGGTATGGAGTATACCAGCTTGCGGAAGGTAATGCCCAACACTGATATTTACACGCAGAGCACTCTCATCTTGGAAGATCAAGAATACGTAAATGTCTACTATGAGGAAAGGATCAAGAATTCGTAAATGTTTACTATGAGGAGAGGATCAAGAATTCGTAAATGTCTACTATGAGAAGCCCGATTTCATTCCAACACGCTTTTCGCCATAGTTGCTGCGTATTGAATTTAAATATTCCATGTGTAGTGCATAGAGGTAGTGTGTAAATTAATGAATGCTGTGCAGTAGTTCTACGGCTTGTATGCGAGCTATCGTCATTTGGCCTTGTTATGTGAAGTAATGACAGCTTAATTAATATATGTAGGTACAAATATTATATATGTATAATTGAGGCCATATATCGGCATCATAATAATGTATAACTATGAATAGTTTAATCATAACTGATAATAATAATATATATTATAATTTTAATATAAAAACAACTAATAGTGCAATTTCAACACAATTCTGTTGCAGGTATCAAGACGATACAAGAAATTTGATTAGGTAAATTGGTGGAATCCTCCTTCCCATACCACCGTTGCCAAATAATCAAATTTCTGGACGTTACGAAGAACAATTTGTGGAGTATCCATGGGTTCAATTGCAAGAGTTTGTAGATTGTCTTTGTCACCGCCAGAAATGAAATTGTTGCCATCGGCTTGGAATATAGGCGAGCGTCGAACACTCTCAAAAACAACACCGCTATCGGAAAGTGTTGTTATCAGCAACCTTACTGTCCCAATGATTGTCATCATCTAGCAAGCCTAGGGCATGCAACTTTATACGTTGGATACTGTTCTATTATATATTAAAATGACAAGGGTCCGGTCGCAGATACAAGCACTTAATCTGCCTTGGATTGACTGTATACATGGTACACGATACAAATTTTTTTAACATCAATTGGTGTGCCTTGTTTATGGGGCATCTATTTTTATACTCTAGCATCATATTGCTACAGGTATGGAGTATACCAGCTTGCGGAAGGTAATGCCCAACACTGATATTTACACGCAGAGCACTCTCATCTTGGAAGATCAAGAATACGTAAATGTCTACTATGAGGAGAGGATCAAGAATTCGTAAATGTTTACTATGAGGAGAGGATCAAGAATTCGTAAATGTCTACTATGAGAAGCCCGATTTCATTCCAACACGCTTTTCGCCATAGTTGCTGCGTATTGAATTTAAATATTCCATGTGTAGTGCATAGAGGTAGTGTGTAAATTAATGAATGCTGTGCAGTAGTTCTACGGCTTGTATGCGAGCTATCGTCATTTGGCCTTGTTATGTGAAGTAATGACAGCTTAATTAATATATGTAGGTACAAATATTATATATGTATAATTGAGGCCATATATCGGCATCATAATAATGTATAACTATGAATAGTTTAATCATAACTGATAATAATAATATATATTATAATTTTAATATAAAAACAACTAATAGTGCAATTTCAACACAATTCTGTTGCAGGTATCAAGACGATACAAGAAATTTGATTAGGTAAATTGGTGGAATCCTCCTTCCCATACCACCGTTGCCAAATAATCAAATTTCTGGACGTTACGAAGAACAATTTGTGGAGTATCCATGGGTTCAATTGCAAGAGTTTGTAGATTGTCTTTGTCACCGCCAGAAATGAAATTGTTGCCATCGGCTTGGAATATAGGCGAGCGTCGAACACTCTCAAAAACAACACCGCTATCGGAAAGTGTTGGGCGCATCGGTAGTATTCTAAAGCCGACCCGTGTTTTCATTAGTATTGGCCAACTATTTTGTAATCAACCTAAATTGGACTGGATACCATTTGCGGACCGTTTGCATATCTACAAATAATACGACACGAAGTTAGTCTTTGTTTAGTTACATATGCATATGAATTTTTTATTTCAGAGGAGTCTTCAACAGTTTTGCTGACATTCTCTCAGCACACAAGGGTGCAAACCATATTTTTTATGCATATACACAGATTTATAATTATAGTAGTTATATGCCGTCTTGCAAGGTATGTTCCAACAGTAATTTTTAATAGAAGTGGAAGTTGTTTTTGTTGTTGTTGTAACGATTATCTAATCCCCGTTTGGGTGATAAATTCTAGATTCGTTGTCGTCGAGGTCATCTAACGGAAGGCCCAGGAAACGAGCTGTTTCGACGCGGTCGGACCATAGGGAAAAGGGTGTTAGATGAGTAGGGTTCGTTGGGCATGCAAAGAGGTGGTTAGTGTCATGCGGAGACTCATTGCACGCAGGACATGTGTTTGGTATGTAGGGGTCTATTCTGGATAAGTAGGGGGTATAAGGGTCACTCTGGTTTCGCGAGGCAACTCGAGCTCTGTGTCTGCAATGGGTGGTGGTTGCACTCGTATTACGCCATTCACTGAGAGGGAGTCGGTGAAGGTGTTAATGGCTCCACTGTGAATGGCGGTCAGTGCCTGTCTGAAGTTAGTTGCGTCCGAAGTCTGGTCGGCGTACTGTCTAATGTCGTCGACGTAGTCAAGAAAGGACCTCTTGATGTTCCTAGGAGGCGGCTCCGCTACAAGCAGGCGACTGCAGGGATGATTTCTATGAAAACACCCCAGCAGAAACTGCTTGGAGAGGAGCTCGTTATGTTCCTTAACCGGAATCATAAGGGCCTCACTTTGCAGGTGCTCTATTAGGGACATCAAGAGGTATCCCGTGATAGTCCGGAGTACAGTGTTCTGACAAGTCCAAAGTTTCTTCATCTGCGTTGCCTTGTATGTTGCCAACAACGTTTCTTTGTCTTTTCCCCATGAGCTGCCGGCAAGCGACTTGAGGATTTTGTTGCGGCTCTGTACTTTGGAAGTTATCGCGGTCGTATGAGGAGTGAAAGAGCACAGACTGTCCAAAGTGACGCCTAAAATTTTAGGGTTATTTACTGTCGGAATTTTTGTGCCATCGACTGAAATGTTCAGGTCCAGTCTGTACTCCTTCGTCCAATTTGTGAAGATGGTCGCTGTGGATTTAGTGGGGGAGAGTGTTAGGTTCCTTGCAGAAAAGAAGCGAGAAAGATCGGAGAGGTAGCCGTTTACTTTTGAACACATGCCATCGATTCCATTGCCCGACGTCAATATCGTACAGTCATCTGCGTACGAGGTCATTGAAATTCCCGCTGGTGGCTGGGGAAGTTTTGAAATATAGAAATTAAACAGTAGCGGAAAGAGGACACCGCCCTGCGGAACCCCCTGTTTAATTTTCCTGAGTTTGGAGTTTTGACCTCGAAATAGTACGGATGAGTGCCGACCGCTCAGGTAGTTCATGGTCCACCGCTTCAGCCCTGGAGGGAGCGTTGATTGTTCCAGGTCCTGGATTTGTTGTTGTTGTTGTTGTTATAACGATTATCTAATCCCCATTTGGGTGATAAATTCTAGATTCGTTGTCGTCGAGGTCATCTAACGGAAGGCCCAGAAAACGAGCTGTTTCGACGGGGTCGGACCATAGGGAAAGGGGTGTTAGATGAGTGGGGTTTGTTGGGCATGCAAAGAGGTGGTTAGTGTCATGCGGAGACTCATTGCATGCAGGACATGTGTTTGGTATGTCAGGGTCTATTCTGGATAGGTAGGAGTTTAACCTGCTACAGTATCCAGAACGAAGTTGTGCGAGGGTCACTCTAGATTCGCGAGGCAACTCGAGCTCTGTGTCTGCAATGGGTGGTGGTTTGACTCGTATTACGCCATTCACTGAAAGGGAGTCGGTGAAGGTGTTAATGGCTCCACTGTGAATGGCGGTCAGTGCTTGTCTGAAGTTAGTTGCGTCCGAAGTCTGGTCGGCGTGCTGTCTGATGTCGTCGACGTAGTCAAGGAAGGACCTCTTGATGTTCCTAGGAGGCTGCTCCGCTGCAAGCAGGCGTCTGCAGGGGTGGTTTCTGCGAAAACATCCCAGCAGAAACTGCTTGGAGAGGAGCTCGTTATGTTCCTTAACCGGAAGCATACGGGCCTCGCTATGTAGGTGTTCGATTGGGGACATCAAGAGGCACCCCGTGATAGTCCGGAGTGCAGTGTTCTGACAAGTCTGGAGCTTCTTATTCTGCGTGTCACTACATCCAGGCGACCATATTGCGGCTGCATAATTGAGGACCGGCCGGCCGATTGCCTTGTATGTTGCCAACAACGTTTCTTTGTCCTTTCCCCATGAGCTGCCGGCAAGCGACTTGAGGATTTTGTTGCGGCTCTGTACTTTGGCAGCTATCGCGGTCGTGTGAGGAGTGAAAGAGCACAGACTGTCCAAAGTGACGCCTAAAATTTTAGGGTTATTTACTGTCGGAATTTTTGTACCATCGACTGAAATGTTCAGGTCCAGTCTGTACTCCTTCGTCCAATTTGTGAAGATGGTCGCTGTGGATTTAGTGGGGGAGAGTGTTAGGTTCCTTGCAGAAAAGAAGCGAGAAAGATCGGAGAGGTAGCCGTTTACTTTTGAACACATGCCATCGATTCCATTGCCCGACGTCAATATCGTACAGTCATCTGCGTACGAGGTCATTGAAATTCCCGCTGGTGGCTGGGGAAGTTTTGAAATATAGAAATTAAACAGTAGCGGAAAGAGGACACCGCCCTGCGGAACCCCCTGTTTAATTTTCCTGAGTTTGGAGTTTTGACCTCGAAATAGTACGGATGAGTGCCGACCGCTCAGGTAGTTCATGGTCCACCGCTTCAGCCCTGGAGGGAGCGTTGATTGTTCCAGGTCCTCAAGTAGCGTTGCGTGATTGACTGTGTCAAAAGCTTTTGACAAGTCCAACGCTACGAGGATCGTCCTCTCGCAGGGTGGCTTCTGGTTCAGGCCATGAACTATCTGGGCGTTTATGACGCTAAGTGCAGTGGTGGTACTGTGCACTTTACGGAAACCATGCTGATGGTCTGCTAGGCTCAGGTGGTGGGTGAATGACGGGAGTAACAAGGCCTCAAGTGTCTTCACTACTGGGGAAAGGAGAGTTATCGGGCGATAAGACTCCCCTTTGTTGGCGGGTTTCCAAGGTTTCAGCAGTGGGACCACTCTTCCGACTTTCCACACATCGGGTATTTGAAGAGTGGATATCGACAGGTTGAGGACCTTGGTGAGGTAGTTTACTCCCGTTGGGCCTAGATGTTTTAACATCAGCATGTTTATTCCGTCAGGGCCGATGGATTTAGACGATTTCGCCTTTTTGATGACACTCTGAACCTCCCCAACGGTGAAAGTAAGTGGTGCGCAGTCTTTTGGCATTTTGCGCAGCCGTCGGGTAACACATCGTTTGGCCTTGTCGGTCGAGGGGTGCAGTATAAACTGCCGGCTAAAGTAGCTCGCGCACTTCTTTGGGTCCGAGGAGGCATGGCCATCGAATTGGATTTCAACCCAAACGTCATGTTTCCTCGGATTTGACAGGGCCTTGACAGTAGTCCAAAGCTTACTCACACCGGTGGAGAGGTTGCAGGACTTCAGGTGCTCTATCCATTTTGTCCGCTTATGGTGGTTTACCATTTGCCGAATCTCCAAATTGAGATCCCTTATTCGGGGATCACAGGGATCGGCATGGCGTAAGGTGTCGCGCTCATTTGCTAATACAGCTGCTTCGGCTGGGAAATTAGGGCGGAGTTCCGCTATTCTTCCAGCCGGTATGAAGCGAGCTGTAGCAGCAGCGATCACCTTGCGGAATTGACGCTCGCCAACGATGACGTCCGTAGGAATGGATAGTGCGTTGAAGGTGCTCTCAGTAAATTCTGTGAAGCCGACCCAGTTAGCTTTGTTAAAGTTAACATAGGTGCGGTTATCCACAGAAATAAAGTCAGGAGGTTTCTCGATCGAGATAATTATGGGCAGATGGTCTGATGCAAGAGTTAGCATAGGTCGCCAGGTTATATTATTTATCAGACCACCGCTAGCGATGGTAATATCTGGCGAGCTATTACAGGTGCCCATAATTCTGGTGGGGGCTTCGTCGTTCATTGTGCAGAATGTCGAATCGTCTATCTGTTCCGCCAGCTCCATCCCCCTACGATCGTTTGACAGGCAGGAATGCCAAAGATCGTGATGCGCGTTAAAGTCGCCTAGCACCAGACGGTTTTCACCACGAAGTAGCGCATCTATATTCGGGTGATATCCTGTTGGGCAACATGTAACTGGGGGGATGTATATATTAAATATTTCGAGCTCGACATCGCCTGACCGGACAGCTATACCCTGACATTCTAGGGTGGTGTCCCTGCGGTCGATGTCAACATCGATTAGACGATATTGCACGGTGTTGTGCAATATGAAGGCTAGGCCTCCACCATTATCCCGCTCGCGATCCTTACGTAAAACGTTGAAACCTGCACAACTCAGAAGATCTGAGCGGCTGTTTAACTTGGTTTCTTGGACCGCAGCTATCGTTACGCTCTCCCGGCTCATAAATGCAACTATCTCCTCGATCTTGCTCTGGAGTCCGTTGCAGTTAAATTGTAAGAGTCGCGGGTGTCCAGTCGTGATCCTGGGGGTGAGTGGGGTGCGTGTAGGTGGTGGTTGTTGCAGCTGTGCTATCCGCATGGGCGGTTGTCGCACTATGGTGTTGATTGGCGACGCCACTGTTTGTGATTGCGGGGGCAGACTCCCACAGCATGGGGCAACATACGACGCACTCCACTCTCGTGTGGTGCGCAGGCCAGAACACGACAGAAAGTGACACCAGCCAGTACAAGAATTGCACTTGACTGATGTGACATTCCGGCGTATAATGGTCTGACACACGGAACAGACTGTGCGAGGAACCAGGAGTTGCTGTGTGGTTCTCGCACGGGGATTGGAGCTGGATGAAGGTTGGGGGGGGGGAGGTTGGTCAGATTGGGAGTTATGCTGTCTATGTGAGCTCCTTAGGACCGTGGAGGTCCTATCTTGGCCACTCGACTGGAGTGGCAGCGCAGTGCGCGAACATGGTGCAGGTTGCACGGCCGTTGAGGCAGATGTCGCATTATTGCGTTGACAGCATGGGGCCACGTAACTCGTGGTCCACTCCCTGTGTGTCTTAAGGCCCGAGCAGGTCTTAAGATGGCTCCATCCATTGCATGTATTGCACCTAACCGAGGTGGAATTTGGATGGAGCCTTTTTGCGCATACGCAGCAGTAGAATACCTCGGGGCCCGGGTTGGACTCGATGCCAGCACGGGTCAGGAGGATACGGAGCAACCCTGCTGCTAGGCGTTGCTCCAGTGACGACAAACTTAATCTAAAACTTACCGATCCAAACAGGGTTAGATCGTCGAAATAACAGCCCTTGGCCGGATAAAATCCGGGTCAATTCCGGTATCGCAGAACCGGCTGTTGTGGGAATTGGTCCTGGATTTGTCATGTCATGTGATAATCATATTATTTATGACATGTTTGCATAATTTTTCGATATTATACATATGTATGTTTCAATTTCACTTCACTTCAAATTCACTTCCAATCGAAAAAATACGTACTTTAAATAATTGAACTTTTCAGCTTTAAACGCAATTATCTCGAAAACAATGTTTCCCGCGTCTATTTCTATATATATTCTTAATCTGGAGGACCTCCTCTATCCGCCCATACCCATTTTATCCCCGTAATCCTGGGACGGTATTCTAAAGATGACCCAAAATTTTTGAGTTGGGAACACTGTCATTTTGTAATTAGATCACTAAAGAAAAAACAACTTTTTACACTCTGAGTAATTTATTTTTAATTTTTCGCTTTAACAAGACAATTAGATATTAGTCGTACATATTTGCTCTGCAATTATATAAACCAGTTATTCTTCAAACTTGGGAGCAGGAGATTTAATGTTACTGTAATCTCTTATTGGCGAATAGAACTGAAATGATATTTATATGAGCAAACCACAAAATTAATCAATATCTTCTTTTAACCTTGTATTGTTTTTCTTTATATTCTTGCCATGGCTCGGGATTCGATGAACGATTCCAAGTTACATCAGGATTTCTTGTAGCTAACCGCAGAGTGTAATATACAGCCCCAAGTGCTCCAGCTCCGACGCACACATATAAAGGGATTAACTGAACTATAATTACAAAGGATCAAGATAAACGGCAATAGCTAACTTACCGCCGGATTTTTTTTTAAACTTTGCAATCCTAATCCCTGCATTTTAAAGTATTTTACTCTTTTCTGATTTCTTACTAGTAATAAACTGAGTTCTATACGTAAATATGGTTATGCAACTCTTTATGAGGGTGTTAAAATATCATCGAAAATCGATACAAATTAATTCAAGCAACGAACATATTTCTATCGATATACACAGCACAGTTAGACGCTGAACACATAGACGGCGCCAAGCCACAGGCAGCATCTGTCAAATATTAAAATACTGTGACGAACACGAATACCAAAACAAATCAGAATCCACGATAAACTGCCAGAAGCAATTAGACAGCGAATTCGTAGTTGCCAGAATGTTCTAGTGGCGATCCTTTTTTTAAGATTTACTATGCCATTAAATTGGGACATTATTTAAAAATCCAGTGATCGAACTTAAGAGTGAGTTACAAGGTAGATGATCCGTTACAATTGATGTCAAAAGTGGGATTGTCAAATAAATTCCCAAAGAGATAATTATTTGAAAATGGCCAAGTTTAACGACTTTAAGATTACACAATTAAAGAAGAGCTGGAGCAACGTGGTTTGGTGGCAAATGGATTTAAAACTGAATTGCAATCACGGTTGCGAGAGGCCATGGAGGTGGAAAACATTAATATGGATGAATATGTCTTTCAATTGGAATTAGAGGAAGAAAGAGAGAACGATTATGGAATAAAAGGAATAGATTTGCTCATCAAATTCTATGGACATAAACATCATTTTGGGTATAATGTCGCAGGTGTCAGCGCAAATGTCCCAGATTCAACGCAAATAGTATGCAAATGTCGCAGATGTCATTGCAGACGTTAACACAAATGTCAACGCAAATATCGACAGAGTGTAAAGAGCAGGATGCACGTATGACCCTACAAATGTCGCAGTTAGAAACGCGGTTGTCAACGCAGTTGGAAGAGCAATTCGCGAGTTACATTGAAATCGGTCAATTAAGTCAACAACTTCTGCCAAGGTAAAACCTCCAACCTTTATTGACACTGTTCCGTTCCATGTTTTTAAGCTTCAATTCGAAAAGACGCCATCTTTAAATAATTGGTACACTGAAGATAAAGTAGCTGCATTGTTCGTTACATTAAAAGCATCTGCAGCGAAGATATTACAGACCATTTAAAACTGCGTGGTAAGTAGTTATGAAACGTTGATGGGTGCATTCGAAAGACGGTATGGTAGTGAGCACAGGAAGCAGATCTTCCAAATGGAGTTGCGAAATCGCCGCCAGAAAGCCAATGAATCTTTTCAAGAGTTTTCTACACATATTAAGAGGTTAGCTCCCTTATCCTTTGCACATACATCCGTGGAATACATCGAGGACATGAAAATTTAGATCTTCGTCAATGGAATACGATAAAACACTAAACGCTGTGCTGCTTTGACACAGGAAATTGCATCCCTGCTTTATAATCGAACATTCTAAGTTTATAAGTAGAAAAAGAGATCGCACTTAGGTGAACCAATTACTTGAAAAAGTTTAAGAAAAAATGCAGAAAGTACTGGAAAAAACTACAGAAATGCGTAAAAAAATTAAGGTGGGGTTAAGCTTAAGCTAAAAAGACAACGCGGTTGTTGTTGTTGGAGAGGTAACTGTTTACCTTTGTGCACATGCCATCGATTAAATGTGGAAAATGTGGCCATATTGCACGCAACTGTAACCAGTCCAATTTAGTTGGCAGTAAATGCAAAGCTGAGAAAGCAAATGTCAAATCCAACCAATCGTTAAACTAAAGCGAGCCAGCCGAAAAGGACACGGGCTGGCTACCGCAAACAAATGATCTGTAATTTTCATTTCACAATTAAGCAGGAATACGAGTAACGTTACCGTTAGTGGTTGTGTAAACGGCAAAAAGCGTACACTCACTATGGATACCGGCGCGTCAAATTCCAAAAATTGATGTAATCTGGTTAATAAAGAAGTAAACCGATTAGCTGAGGCGAAGTTGCGTACTGCAACTGGAGAAGGTACTCAAGTTCTCGGAGAAGTAACGTGCGAAATCGTAATTAGAAAGGCAGCCATGTTACACATTTTTATAGTGGCAGATATCGTCTACAAAGTTGTAATGGGAATAGACTTGCTAGCGCATCAAAGAATCAAAATTGAAATGGAGAACAGAATTCTGACCTATATAAATATGAAAGTGCCACTTATGTTCAGTTACGATACAAGTACAACGTAAGATGAGGGCCGTACAGAGAGCCAGCAGATTCCACCATAATCAGAAGCAGTTATTTTGCAGAAAAAGATGAAGACTATGGGCCAAACAAGTTGTGGATTGTTGAGGCCACAAAAAAATCTACACCAAACTTACTTATGAACAACTTCTTGTCAGATACTCATCCATATTTGATAAGATTCAAAATAAGGAAGTACTAAAGTTGTGAAAAAATGTATTCCTTTAGCAAAACGTGAAGTTGCAACCCAGACCATACGTGAAATGAGCGAAAGCAGCGTAATCGAACCATCAGCGAGTCCATGGAGTTCACTTTTAGTACTGGTGAAGAAGAAAGATGGCAACATGAGATTCTGTGTGGACTATAGAAGGTTGAATGATGTAACGAAGAAACACAGTTATCCACTATCTAGAATCGATGAGACGCTGGACTTCTTATCAGGTACAAAATGGTTCCTAACACTTGATTTGAAAAACAGTATTGGCGAGTGCAGGTAAACGCAGAAGACAAAAAAAACGACTTTAAGAGTTGGAGATGGTCTATGGCAATTTACCGTAATGCCTTTTGGATTACGTAACGCTCCTTTAAAAGGACTTATGCTTATGAACCAGGTAATAAAAAGAATACACTGGAAGACCTGTTTGGTACACCTCAACGATATCATCGTGTTGGGTAAAAGCTGCGATGAACACTTTAAGAACTTGAAAAAAGTTTTTCAACGGATAGCTAGCATTGGACTAAAGCTGAGTCCAAAGAAGTGTTCCCTTTTCAAAAAACTTAGGACACAACTTGACAACGGAGGGCATTTAAAAATTGGCCCAAGTTGTGGACAAGTATCAAAAATATTGGGATACCCATATATTCTTGTTACTGGCATATCGGTCTGCTGTACATGAATCAACGTGCTCCAGCAAGGGTAATTTGTGGTAATGATCTTCGAGACGATTTTTCGAGAAATCCGTTACAATATTCCTCTGGGATTTTGGTAGTACTAACCGATTCATGTGGTAGGGTTACCGAAACCATCGGTTAAAGTTTTGTTATATTCTGCGATGCTTAATAGAAAGTTGATAGGTATTTAGTTAGGTTTAGTCTATATATATATTACCTGCTAATTAACCATGAACTAATCCTTTATTGTGGAAGACGTATAAATACATTGACAAACGCAGAGCACTATCCTTTTTGTTACCAAAGTTAATTGGGCCTTAAGAAGATCATAATAACTTTAACAGAAATTTTCGGGTGCTATGGAGGTTAATTGACTGAAGAATAAACCGATAGTTGGGTTGCAGAGTTCAGTATCGGTATTGTAAACATGTGATATTAAGCGGTAAGTAGAGTTACCTCATTTTACATCTTAGAATGTCATGGCAACTCGTAATTTTACAGAAGTATTTGTACGATTTATACAAGAAAGGTGTTCGACGTAATGGCTTCGTCAGGTTAGTTAAATACTTTTTAAAATATTATTTAGGATATGTAAAATCTTGGTTTTAGTGTTGATAAATCATGTTATTTATTTCCAATCCTGGGGAAGTGCTTAGGGCATAAATCTTATCGTGGGATAGTTTAAACGGAAAGTTTCATAGCTTGATATTAGTACATGGTGATGTGGATAAATATAATTATATACATACATAGATTGGAATATAATATGTATCTTCATCATCTTTTTATTATAAAGTTATTATCCCGTTCTCATAAAAGAAATGAAGTTTGATTTGTTTATTTGTATTTGCTAAGTGTCAGTGTTTTTTTTTTAATATTAAAACGTTTAGTAGTAAAAGTTAAAGTTTTTTTTTGTATTTAGTGTCGTGAAAAATAAATATTAAAAATATTTACTACACATTACTATAGCAAATTAGAAGATACTTATAGCTGATGATGGTACGTAATGTGTTTGCTTACCAAAACGTGCTTCCTGACCTACAGATTTCAATTTACTAAAATATTTGGTAAATGTATAGTTTTGACCCCCAATGAAAGAAGCCGCTTATTTTGACGCGAAGATTACGAATCTATGAGCAGAAAAGTTATAAAAATATATTCAACACACTTTGCGCATAATTTTCAAGTAACTTAGTTGTCATAACAGTAGAATTCTGTAGCATACAGATCACTTAGCAGTAATTACACGTTCAACGAGTTAGACATTTTCTTGTGAAAAAAAAAATTTAACGAAATGTAGCAGTCACAATTTCTTTTACGTCGCAATCTGATGGTATGGACGAATAGAGGAGATCGTCGAAGTCTTTTCTGCACTGGCGGCTTTCAGCCGCTCCTCAAAAATATAACCCTGGTCGGACCAACACCGAGGTGTCCATAGTTCTTTTACGTGCTGAAAGGAGTTTGGTGCAAAAGAATTATGGACACCCCGGTGTTCGACCGGCCAGGATTATTTTATTGAATTGCGAATTGCCGAAGGCCGCTAGTGCGGAAAGGAGTTCGACATGAATGCATTATGAACATATTCATCTTTTTAAAAATGAAAAAAAAAATTTAATTATTGAAAAACTCAACTTTGATTTAAAAATCGAGGCCTCCTTCGTTGGTTGACCTAAACTATACATTTACCGATTTATTTTATGATATGAATTCAAAAACCACTTTGACTAGTTTTTTGACTGCAAGAGCGTGTAGCAAGGCTTAAGTGTCTTTACTACTAGGGAAAGAAGAGTTATCGAACGATAAGACTCCTCTTTTTTGGCGGGTTTCCCAGGTTTCAGTAGTGGGGCCACTCTTCCGACTTTCCACACATCGGGTATTTGAAGAGTGGTCATCGACTAGTTGAGGACCTAGGTGAGATAGCTTACTCCCGTCGAGCCTAGATGTTTTAAGATCAGCATGCTTATTCCATCAGGGTCAATTGATTTGAAAGATTTGGCCTTATTGATGGCATTCTGAACCTCCCCATCGGTGAAAGTAAGTGGTGCGCGGTCTTTTTACATTTTACGCAGCCA